CCCAGTGTTGGATCTTGCTTTGGTGAGGACGGGGTAAGGAGAAGGTCGCCAGGTGGTCGGTGAGATTCTTGATAAAGTCGCAGTTGTTGAGGAGCTGGGTATTCATTCGCCATATCCCTCGACCTGTCATGGGGGCGGAGGCGGGGGAGAGTGTCAGTAGTAGCATGTCGTGATCCGAGAAAGGAGATGCGCAGAGTTGCTCAGATTTAGATACCTGTGAGAGGAATTGGATAGAGGAGAAAATGTAATCAATGGTATGACGGACTTTGTTTCCTGCAGGGGTGCAGGTGGGCTTGGGGTTGGTATGAAGTGGGGTGATGCAGTCTACAAGATGAGTATCAACCCAGTCCTGAAACAGGGGATGAGGACGAGGGTGAGTGTAATGTATGTAGTTAAGATCGCCTAAAAGAAAGGCCTTTGGGGGAGGGGAGAGAAAGAAAGGGAGGGAGAGACAGTTCAGCATGAATAGCCTTCGTGCTGTCCTGTTGGCTGGGGCATACATAACACAGAATGTGGCCATAAAAGAAGAAGATGAAGAGGTGACGGTGGTAATAATAATCCTTCCTTGTTCTGCGTAAGAGGTGTTAGAGAAGGAGAGGTCAGGATTGCGAAGAAGGAGTGCACAGTGGGGGGACCAAACAGAGCTGTGAGTGTTGAGATATTGGTTGTAATTGATCTGATCAGCAGTGGTTGGCGATGTTGGTAGGTTGATTTCCTGAAGGGCCATTATGTCAAAATCCGTTTGTCGAAGCCAGGTGAAGAAATGAGGTGGACCGGTAGCATTGTTGTTTTGAAGGTGCTGCTTGCGTAGACCTCGCACGTTCAAGCTTGCGATCCGCATTACTGTGACCGATTGTTTTTAATTGTAGAAGTAGATCTAGTGGCAGGTTTACCTTCTTTGGTGTAGATGTTGTTGGATGTCTTGGTGATGGTCTTAACTGCTGTGGCGACCGCGGTCTTGGCTACGGAGCGTCTTGCCTTGATCCGCGCTGCTATAGAAGCAGCCATAGCATCCTCCATGGGGAGGTCGTTGTTGTCGGAGGAAATGGAGTGTTCAGTATTGTAGGTAGCTCTGTCAAGGTCTCCCAGGTTAGCTCCCTCCAAATTGAAATCCTCATCAAAGACCTCTTCTCCTTTATCCTGAGCCTGATCATGACATTCGGTCATAGTGATGTCATCTTTTGGTGTGTTGGAAGGAGAAACCACTAACTGGGACTGATGGGTCACATTGGTAGTGGTCAAAGCGAGATGGGTGTTTGAAATTGTATCAGGCGGTACAGAAGCAGAAGCAGAGGAAGTAGTGGAGGAAGGAGAAGAGAAGGAGGTTGAAGAATCAGAAGAAGAGGAATCATGAGAAGAAGAAGAAGAGGAAGCAGAAGAGGAAGAAGAAAAGGAGGAAGTAGAGGAAGTAAAAGCTGAGGAGGATTCAGCGGAAGAGGTGGAAGTGGGTTGCCCTCTCACAGGCATCTTACCTTTCGCCCTCTTAGCATCTCTAGCCGAGAACCTTGAGCAGGTGAAGCTGACGTGGCCATTCGCATTGCACGCACTGCATACGATGGCCAAGCGCTTGGGACAATGGAGAAGGAGGTGCCCGTGTCCCTTGCAATAGTTACAAAAGGGAGAGGCTCCCATCCAACTGATACGGCAAGGA